TACTAGCCTGCTTCAAGTTTCACATCTGTACTAAGCTGCTTCAAGTACCGCAGCTGTGCTAGGCTTCTTCTATGATCACAGTCGCATTGAAGGCATGTTGGCAGTGTGGTCAGTCCTGCTTCACATTCTTAGTGACCATGATCTCCATTCATGTTGAATGGTCAGGAGATGAAAGTTGTTTAGTGTTATAATCAGGTCCTGGTCCACCAAAAAAAAAAAAAAAAAAATACCAGCAGGTAATCATTTTTACTGATAACACAAATACGTATATATGAAAATCATCTAAGTACTTTGTAAAATACATTTACAAAGATTATTTAACAAACGGACTCGTAACATTACAGGGCATTTTATTCCAAACATGAAACTAGTAATCTCAGAGTAATACGAGTCACTGTAGATACATTTGATCCTGTGCTATTTCTAACATAATACATTCAACACTAAACTAAGCCTCTTTAAAGCTTTCAGCCATCTGTGGAGTCTGTGGCTGGAAGAACACATTACAAATACATGCCTTGCATTCCTTACAGCCATTACAAGCAAATCTATCACAAGAGGCTTGGTTTCCTCAGGAAGTCATGGATGGAGCTCAGTGGCCTTGTTTAGGTTCAGAGCAGCAAACTCTGCTCTCAGAGATCTGTGCCACTTTAACAAACACGCCCCAAAAGCTCTAACCACACAACGCTCACTGCTGTAGAAAACTACTCTTAGGTCTGACTAGGGCCATGCACAAGACTGGGTTTTCAGCAGATAGTGAGAGAGGCAATGAACTCAATTTCTGTCATGCACCCACGTCAGCAAGACACAAGACCTTCTCTTTGACTCTAAATCCAGCTTGAAGTTGTGTTGTAAATGAAAGAATCGGTGAGCAAGTATCTGCAGAACATTGCTCTTAAAATGCTGATAATACTCCGACAGATAAATCCTGCCTTTTACTGCAAGATTGCTTCAAGCAACAGTTAGCCTTGCTGGATCTTTATCCCCAAGTAAGGACCGAGTCTTCTTCAGCCCGGAAAGTAGTACTGAGATTGCTGTTCATTACATACAGTAATACTGTAGAACACAATTTAAAAATGTAATTTGGATTCAACATTTTGTTTAATATTGTTGTTAGGTTAAACAACAAAGTATGGTGTGAGTGGATTTGAACATTTCAACAGAGACGTGGCATATATGAGCAGTCTGTACTCAAACAGGCACAACGAAAGAACTGTCAGACACATTAAATATATTTTATGCCGAGTATAATCCCTCACCTATGGACAGAAAGAGTGCCCAAACAAACAACTTGTTTTAAAAAGTAATCTGCTCTCACTTCATTCAACCTTTATAAAAAAAAAAACTTACAAAGACTGAGGCCCTGTCTACTCCACTTTAATACTCTTAAAACTGAATAAATAAATACAAATTCAGGTTATATTTTTACCTGTGGAGGTTAGAAAAGTGAACTCATGATCGGAAGGTTTTTAATAACATAAAAAACACAACTTGTTTAAAAATTCTCTCATTACAATAGCAGTCCTTTTCTTTAACACGACCACTAACTTTGACCTGTTTTTAACCTTCAGGGCACACGTAAAATTTAGCGGTGGCCGGCTCTGATAAAGCAAAACAAAAAAAAAATAATCGTAAATCAGCTCCATTTAGTTGGATTTATGGGACACAAAATTTTAGTGAGCATGCGCACATTTTTACTACATCTTTGTTTTGGAAAGCCTCCATATTTTGGCTCCACATGTACGCACCAGAAACATGATTTTTAATCATCATGTTTGAAAGATTTATTTTCTCACCATAAACAAAACACAAAGCAAAAATGAAATAAATAAATAAATAATACTAGTTGTATTTTATTCTATGTTCTTTTTTTTTTCCTATCTTTTCGCTTTTTTGTGTGTTTTCAAAAACTAAAACCTTAATAAAAAGACTGATAAAAAAAACTAGCTGTTAAACCTAAACTTAAGAACGTGATGTGAGCAGGGCTTTAATGTAGCCATACTATACTGTCCTTTTTAATCTTTACACACACACATGTTTTTAGACTTGTGTAGGGCATCTTGGTAGATGATATTTGTATTGTGTAAAGAAGCTTTAACAGTTCATTACTAAGAATATAGAGGCAACTATTGGGGCAGCCAGTCCAAATCAAATTTCCTCAGAAGGGAAATGAGACACATTTTATTGTTGTGTATTGTTTTGTATTAATTGGATTCTGGCTGCTTCATTCCAACACTAAACAATCTGACACAGACTATTGGCAAAGACTGCTGACAGAGCAATACAAGCAGAGGAGGAAGTATTACAGTGCTTTGTGAGAACAGTGCAGTGTTCCTGTTTCCTCCACCGTACATGGTTAGCTTAGTTATTGTCTACAATTATTCCTGAGAACAGACCCATGAATTGTTTTAGTGTCTACAACACTGGCTGTAATCTAACCAGATTAGTTTTTGACAGGCTACAAACCTTCTAAAGTGTTGATGGCTATCACCGGAGCATACGCGTACTTGTACTGTAATTGAACCTTTAGAACAAAACATACATTTTTCTAAATTTATATTTATTTTTACCTAATGTTCATTTATGTGAAACAATTTTACCAAAATGTGATAAAATGCAGTCAATTAATGATTTTTAATGTTTCTCCAGGTTTCAGGCCTTGGGTGTTGGTTATCAGATTGGGTGGGAGTTGTCGGTGAATGTTGGACAAAAGAACAATTTTATTTTTTTAATAGCAGTTTTTATAGTTTCATATCAGGATCTGTGTTTTACTTGATGTTTTGTAGCCTTTGTGTTTTTATAGAAGGTTTTGGGGATTATTACCTCAAATCTGGACCCAACCAGGGCTGTCCTCCTGAACTCTGATGTGTGCCCAGACCTGATGCCTTCATGTGGATTTTTTGTAATTTAATACAATTTATTGTTCATATTTGATCAGTTACTTAAATACATTTACATACCACAGTATGGTTTCAAATATAGGCAGGCTTATTGTATTCAGATAACTAAAATCGTGTTTGTTTTGTGTAATCTATTTTAGAAATGAATTTTGGAGATATAATTATATAATAAACTACCATCACAACATCGAGAGGGTTTTAGAACAAATAAGAAGAAAAGAGACAAAAGGTAAATGCAGATAATCTTTTTTTTTCTAATTAAACTTTTATTGATTTTCAGAACATTCATCCATCCATTATCTTTACCTGCATCTTGCTTTTCAGGTCACAGGGGTCACTGGTGTCCATATCCAGAGTACCCGGAGAAAACCCACACATGCACGGAAAGAACATGATAATGCCACCCAGAAAGACCCCTAGTTCTCGGTGGGAGGTGGCAGCACTACCAACTGAGCCACCGTGCCACTCATTTTCAGAACATAAAAAAATTTTGAAGAAAACTTAAAAAACATAAACTGAAATCAGAAACATAAAGACTGGTGCACCTGCCCCCAGTTCCCAGGGTAACAGCACATTACATGTTAGAGTGACAAAGTTCCAAAACAAATATCTGTAATTAGATGGGATGATTCAGTAATTTAAAAAAAATCCAACAAAAAAACAAAGCAATATTTTAGGTCACATAGAGGCTACACTTTTTTGTGAGCCCCAAAAGCTGTCCCAACTAAGTGTCTCCTCTCCCTGTCCAATTACTGAGCATGACCTCATAAGAGGCTGTCCACCATTGATTTAATTCAGCCATTTTACTCGGGACACTTTGTGGGTTTCCAAAGTCTTAAGATGATCATGGATGCTGTCACAAGACTGACCAGAATTTTTTTTACTCCTTTGGAAATATCTAGCATTTGAGATCTGTCTCCCAGTAAACACCATTCTGGAGTCTGAGGGATTTCTGAGTCAAACCAGGCACTTAAAACCTCAAAGACTTTATCTCAGAAAGGTGAAACCAGAAAACATTCCCCAAAACAGTGCAAATATGTCCCCACCTCTTTTTTAAATTTCCAACACAAATTGTCAGTCATTAGATTTATTCTGTGCAGTCTGGTTGGATGATGATGATATCTATGTAACACCTTATACTATATGAATTTATTTCTGGCCTGCTTCACATATTTACCACTCTCCGATAGGACATCCAGTCATTTTTCATTTGTGTACACTATTCTCAAATCCCTCTTCCTCAAATGTTTGATGTTTGAAGATTCACCACTCAAACTATAATTTAATATGATATGAAACTAAGAAAGTCATGTGACAATCATGTGGCATGCTAATATAATCTATAATCTCATTTTCTGCAGTATTTTTAAATGTGGAGGTCACATAATGTCATCATGTCATCTACATGTCTCATCTGTTCATCTGTTTGTTGTCTGTACTTTATATGTTTGGTCTGGAACAGGTCTCTCTTGTAAATGAGTCCTCATGGTTCAATGAGATTAGCCTGCATAAATAAAGGTTGAATGAAAAAAAAGAAAAAAAAAACTGTAGATATTTACAAAAATATCCTCTACCTTTCAATTCAAATCCACGAGTTAAATCCTCGTAGGACCTAAATTGTCCATCATTGAGATCTGCCTCCCAGTAAACAGTTCTAGAGTCTGAGGGACTTCTGAGTCAAACCAGGCACTCAAAACCTCCAAGACTTTACCCCGAAGGTGAAACCAGAGAACATTACACAAAACAGTGTCCAACAGATTGCCACTGGTGTGTGCAATGTGAATGCCACTATCCCCAAAATACAGATGCTTTACCAATGCATGTTAGTCAGAGTCAGAGTCAGAGTCAGAGTCAGAGTTTCTTTATTGTCATTCGCACCTCATGTGGTACATGTGGTGGAGCGAAATTATGTACACAGGGTCCCAGTTACATCCAACAATAAAATGTATAAGAAAAACAGTAATAACATCTAAGATATGAACTAAGAAAAACATCAACTAAATATACACTAAGCACTCATAACATAAAACATTGAACATCAGCACAAACACGAACATGAGTCTGTGAGCAGATGTGCACGCATGAACACATCAACATTGAAACAGATCAGCAGCAACATGAAACAGATCAGCAGCAACATGATATGGTTTTTCACAGTGATTATTCTAGTTAGAGATTCATGAGTCTAACAGCCTCAGGGTAGAAGCTGTTCCTCAGTCTAGTGGTTCTACACTTAATGCTCCTTAACCTCCTTCCTGAGGGGAGTGGGGCAAAAAGTGTGTGTGCTGGGTGGGTGGGGTTAGCAGGGTTATTTCAGAAACATGCATATTACTGTATCTGATGTGAAAGTGTTAACCTTTTATCTTAAAGTAAAGTAAAGATCTGAAGCTCTCGAAGTTGAACTCTCTAAGTGGCTTCAAATGTCTACTAAGTTCCTGGCAAAATCCAATGCAGACGTGTTCCTGTTTTTAGTTTTCTACACCGCCTTATAATCTAGTTGTTTCCATTTCGTTTTTTTAATACCATTTTCTTTCAATTGTTCTTCTCAATTCCTATGCTTTCTTTTATGATTGTCTACTGTTGTCTTTGTTGTCTACCATTGTCATCACTATTCAGGTCTCTCTTGTAAAGGAGTCTCTGACGCTCAATTGGATTAACCTGTATAAATAAAGGTTGAATGAATGTACCTTGTACATAGCTTGTACCAAGCTTCACAAAAGTGAATAAGAATCAGATTTGTTGTGTCAGTCTTTTGAGACTGTATGTTTCAGGTCTAACGGTGAACAAATATCAGTTTCAATGCTTAACTATTCTTTCCCATACCCACGTTTCTCCCAATATTTTGCTAATTTAGCCATTTCATACGACAAGGATTAAAGTTTTTAAATTTGAAGTTTCAAAGTCCTAGATCTTATTTTTCTCTTGGGGCATTCAATTTATCTAGTTTTATTCTTGCTCTTTAACCTCCCCGTGAGAAATTTTCAATCATATTTTCATACCTTTTAAAGATATGTAATGGAATTGTAATGGACAACTTCATAACCACTAGCAAAACAGAATCATGATGTTGAAAGAACATAACTGCTAACCAAATCACTCTGTAGATGTATTCTTTTTCAACTTTGATGCCATGTTTTTTAATATTTTTGTAGGGGGTTTTTTGTATGTTTTTAGTATTTTAGTAATACTTTTAGTATGTTTTTAGTATTTTTGCTGCATGCTTTGGTATTTATTGTTTGTTTTTTGGGTGAGTCAAGATGGTTCTTGTCCTAAGCATTTCATTGCATTTTGACCTTGTGTTGATTTTGCATATGACAAATAAACCAAACCTCCATCCATCCATACATACATCCATCCATACATCCATACATCCATACATCCATCCATACATCTAGTTTCTTCCGCTTATCCGGGGTCGGGTCGCGGGGGTAGCAGCTTAAGTAGGGAGGCCCAGACTTCCCTCTCCCCAGCCACTTGGGCCAGCTCCTCTGGGGGAATCCCTAGGCGTTCCCAGGCCAGCTGAGAAACATAGTCCCTCCAGCGTGTCCTGGGTCTTCCTTTGTGTCTCCTCCCGGTGGGACGTGTCCGGAACACCTCACCAGGGAGGCATCTAGGAGGCATCCTAACCAGATGCCTGAGCCACCTAAACTGGCTCCTCTCGACGTGGAGAAGCAGCGGCTCTACTCTGAGTCCCTCCCGGATGATCGAGCTTCTCACCCTATCTCTAAGGGAGAGCCCAGACACCCTGCGGAGAAAACTCATTTCGGCCGCTTGTATCCGAGATCTAGTTCTTTCGGTCACAACCCAAAGCTCATGACCATAGATGAGAGTAAGAACGGAGATCGATCAGTAAATTGAGAGCTTCACCTTTTGACTCAGCTCTCTCTTCGACAGAGCACTGACAATCTTGTGGCCACAGCTCCGGTAAGCCGCCTCGACAATAGAGGCACGGAACATGGCCCACTCGGACTAAATGTCCCCTACCGCCCCCGGAACATGTTCAAAGTTCTCCCGGAGGTGGGAGTTAAAGCTCCGTCTCACAGGAGTCTCTGCCAAAAGTTCCCAGCAAACCCTCACAATACGTTTGGGCCTACCAGGTCTGACCGGCATCATCCCCCACCATCGGAGCCAACTCACCACCAGGTAGTGATCAGTGGACAGCTCCGCCCCTCTCTTCACCTGAGTGTCCAAGACATGTGGCTGCAGATCAGATGAGACGATGACAAAGTCGATCATTGAACTGCAGCCTAGGGTGTCCTGGTGCCAAGAGCACATATGGACACCCTTATGCTTGAACATGGTGTTTGTTATGGACAATCCATGACGAGCACAGAAGTCCAACAACAGAACACCACTCGGGTTCAGATCAGGGGGGCCGTTCCTCCCAACCACACCCCTCCAGGTCTCACTGTCATTGCCCATGTGAGCATTGAAGTCCCCCAGCAGAACAAGGGAGTCGCCAGGAGGTGCACTTTCCAGTACCCCCTCCAAGGACTCCAAAAAGGGTGGATAATCTGGTAATCTGCCGTTTGGTGCATAAGCACAAACGACAGTTAGAACCCATCCCCCCACACGTAGGTGGAGGGAGGCCACCCTCTCATTCACCAGGGTGAACCCCAACACACAGGCACCAAGATGGGGGGCAATAAGTATGCCCACTCCTGTGCGGCACCTCTCACCAGGAGCAACTCCAGAGTGGAAGAGTGTCCAACCCCTTTCAAGGAAACTGGTTCCAGAACCAGAGCCATGCGTAGAGGTGAGTCTGACTATTTCTAGCCGGAACCTCTCCACCTCACACACCAGCTCAGGCTCCTTCCCCACCAGTGAGGTGACATTCCACGTCCCAATAGCCAGCTAAACCAAACCTAACCTAACCAAACCTAACCTAGTTAAAGCAAGGGGCGGCAATCATTTTAATAATATTAATCTTACCCCACAATGTTAGTTTGATCTTCTCCCCACATTTCAAAATTAGTTTTAATTCAAAACAACACCGGGTTAAAGTTTAGTAAAAGTAAAGAGTAAGTAGACTCAATCATCCAGGTAAATCACCAAAACGTTAAATGAAAGCGACTTAATACTGAGCCCAGCCAACCTACAGAGGAAGTCCATTTCTACTGCTTGTATCTGGGATTTCATTCTTTCAATACCTCATGATCACAGGTGAAGGTTTGAACATTGACAAACCAGCAAAACAAGAGCTTTACTTGGCTCAAATCCTTCTTCACCATGTTAACCCTCACCACTGTAAAGGAGGTCTCAGTTGGTTGATTAATATCTCACACCATCCTGCAGTCACTCATATACAGTACAAGACTCTCAGATACTTGAACTTGGTCATTTGAAGCAAAGACTCACCCCCGAGAAAAAGGCAACATTCCACGTTCCAGTAGAGATGTAGGACTATGGCCTCGGAGGATTTAGTTTTGTATTGTACAAATGTAAACTCTAATATTCTATAAAATACTTACGAGCAAAATAAATGAGCAGATAATGAATTTGAAACCAAAAAAAATTGTCACTGTAAACTTTTTGGATCGAGCACAGCAGGTGAATTGCTCCAAACATATTTTGAATCTAACCACAGATTTTCCATGAATGTAAGCTGGCTTCAACCCGTCTGCCTGTTCATGTGATCCCAGACATTCAATGACACCGATGCAGTCAAGTCTCTTGGCCATGTTCCCATATTGGAGTGGTGGCATTTTTCAAACGTTTCTTATGAGATTTTTACACATGCCTAAAACTTTTTTAAACATTGTCTCACCTTTCCGGTTTCTAAACGTACTAGTGAGTTCACTTCAACAAGTGGAAACATTATGACAAGAACTAGTGGAATGTGACTGCCACATTAGACATCATTGTAGATGAACAGTAAAAACTTGGAAGTAATAGAAATAAATGTATTTTAATTGTTCTTACCTGAGAGCTTCAATATCCCCACTCTTATGGACACAGGTCACTTCTCTGGTCTGGTAACCAACTTGTAAATCCCAGAATTTCCCTCCCGGACGTTTCTGACGATTTTTGTTCTTCTTCATTCGCTCTCTGGTCTCAGGATCCTTCACCTTTCCCTTCACTTTTAATTTCTTTTTGACTTTGTCTCTGTTTTTTTCTTTTTTTCTCTTGTTTTTAGTCTTTTTCTGTTGTCTGTGCTGATCAGCCTGTCTGGAAGGCCTGTCTGGTTTCCTGTTTGCTCTGGCCAATTTTCTGTTGAGTCTTGATGGTTTGTCACTGTTTCTGGACACTTTGGCACCTTCTTTTGCATTTTTGTCATTTTCTTGGTACTGCGTTTCATCTCTAATCTGTTTGTTTCTCTCTACTGACTGTTTGTTGCTCTCTCTGATCTGTTTGTCTTCCCTGGATGGTGTTTCACCCTCCCTACTCTGTTTGTTTCCCTCTTTAGAAGGTTCCCTTGATCTCTTGTTCCCCTCTCTGCGTGTTTTTTCAGCTTGTCTCGTTTGCCTTGGCAGTGGAACAGAGCAGGGACCCCAAGGTCCCACTCTGAGACTGTAAAGATTTTCCTTTGTCTCACAGAGCCCTGGCTGGCATGTCTGAAACTCTGTCAGGTTTGGACACATTGCTCCACCGAACAGTGGTGGTGCAAGAACAAAGCGGATCCGGTTTTGTAAACCTATCCCACAGGTTTTAGAACATGAAGTCCATGGGCTGAACTCAGACAGCACACAGTCCTGAGGACATGGAATTAGACAGGCCTGTTCGAGGCGAGGTTTAGGCTCAAAATATTCACAGATAGCATTTTCAGCGGGTTCACCATTAGCTTTCTGAACGCAGCCCACCTCCCGGGTCTGGATGCCCTCCTCACCTCGTGAGCACACAGTTGGGCGCTGTACCCCAGTGCTGCGCATCAGCACTGGGACACACTGGTTCCAGGCACCCAGCTGCCATTCATACAGGTCTTTATGCCAGTCACATACTCTGAAACAACTCTGCTGGTTGTCTGGCCGTTCTGCCTGGTCACAGTTCGTATGTAGAGTAGTCCAGCCCTCAGAATGAGCGCACCATACTGCTCTACTCTGGCTTCCTCCTGGACCACACTCGCTTCCCATACAACGAGCCCACGGACCTGTAAAGAGTGCAATGAAAATGGTTAAGGACGTAAAAATGAGGTGTCATAACTTTCAAGGCAAAGTAACAAACTATATATATTGTTCATATAATAGAACATTCCATTTGGTTGACAAAGCATTATCATCATAGTTATGTTAAGAAATAAACAGAATGCCAGCAGCAGACTGGTTGAAGCACTATGAGAAGGAGTTGTTTATAAGACTGAGTTTGTTGCAGCTCCTCAGACTGAAGAAGTATTTTGGATAAAAGACGAAACGTTTCAACAAGAAGAATCCATCCAGAGGACCTGACTCAACCTGGTTAGATCTACCTGGATTACTGAACATGCATCAGAACATAAATCAACATACATTACATATTGCAAGTTTTATTAAAATTGGTCCAGTGGCTCAAAAGATGTTTTGATACCAAAGATGACATGATCACAGACACACACATAAAGTAGTGCTAAAACATTAAGCATAACATGACTGCCTTTCAACAGTGGACAATAAAATAGTTAATCTGTGCCAAAATGTGGTTATCTTTAATAATAATATAGTAATTGTTGTTTTAAATACAAGTGAAAGTCTTAATTAAACCATGTATTGTGGCTTTACCCAACATATCTGCAGTACAGCAATGAACATGTCAAGCAAAGAACCAGCAGGTCTCAGCTGCAAGCAGAGGGCTTCGATCAATAGAAATCGATAAAGGAAGAGAAAAAACTGCTTCTAATACAAAAGACAGCTGATGCCACACACCTGACAACTCTCAGTGGCAGTTATTATTTTCTTTCAGTGGACAAAAAGAAAAACAGCACAAACACAATTTTAAAAAACACTGTTCATTCTTGGTAGTCTTTAATTTAAAATACTACATTAGACATCAAAAAAGGTTGAATCATGTCATCTGGACTTCGTTTTTTTTTGTTAAAAAGAAACGTTTCGCCCCTCATCCAAGAGGCTTCGTCAGTCTGAGGCCTAGCCATCTGGTATTACCCAGAAGCCACCCTGACTCTTGTGTTTCAAGCCTGCCTCAGATACCCCTGAAGTCTGGCCTTTTCACTAATGGTTTCAAAAACCCATTAGACATGATCGTTCAGATCGCAGTCATTTTGAAAAACATAACACATGTATCCAATTTATACCCACATACGAAAAACACCTAGGTTGGACTTGAAAAAAATCTGGTTTGTAAGATTTAAACTTTAATTAAAACATTCAATATAGGTTGCATAGAGGTAAAAAAAAAGAGAAGAATTTGAGCTACATTTGCATGAAGTGAACATAGCCGTAGAGGAGATGTAAGGCACCATACCAGTCATAACATACAATTCTGTGAGAGTTGTCAAATATCTCATGGCATCCTGACTCCATCTCTAGGCTAACCAATTCTGTAGTATTGCCATTATCATAAAAAATGAAATAAACACAGCAGGCTATCTAGACCGTACATTTAAGGACTGCATGAGAATGATTGGAGAAGCTATAGACACGCACAGCATTAGCACAATGGAAACTCACATCAGACACGTGTCCAATAAAAACACAGAATTCCATTAGTATCAACCATTCCTAAAAAACAAGCTGGAAAACAAATTCACTCTAAAGGTCAGATTTTTATAGATTCATGTATCACATTTAATTTAAAAATCATGTAAAGAACATGACTTATGAGTCTCAATGTTCCACATACAGTATAAAGTAGATGTGTATGGAAAGAGAGGTATGAGATTGTATGTAAGGGTTTGTCAGAGGAAGAGGTTATCTAAACCAATGCTAAAACTCATTAGTCTTAATTTTATGAACAGGATTATCTCTTTCTGTGAAAGGACACATTTAAACTGGTGTCACAGTTTACACTGTTTTTTTTTCCTTTTCTTATCACTCTGTTCACTGTTTGTCTATTTCTTCTCTGCTCTCCTGGGTTTTTCCTCTACTGCTTCTACCAGCCTCTTTACATGCCACACCTCTCTCTCTGATTGCTGCTGATGTTTCCACCTGTTTCTGGGTGTATATATACTTCCTGCTTTCTCCACTACACTGCCAGATCAACTGCTTGCTTCCAGACACAGTTATCCAGCGTACTCTCCTTGTTCACAGCTCTGTAATCTTGATCCACGCCTGTTTCCCTCGACCACGCTTTTTGCCTGTCCCTTTTGTGCCTCAGCCTTCTGACCTTGTTGACGACCTACGCCTGTTTTTGGATTTCGCCTTTGCCTCTCCCTATCGCTACTGTCTCCTCTTCTGATCCCGTGTATGAACCCTGCTCAGCCTCGACTACGCCTCTGGATTTCCCCTGGTCTCTGCAGCTCTGTGTCTCCGCTGGAGCGCCCCGTTACAACAAGAAAGGTTAGTGTTTCATCAGACCGTCTGTATTCAGATAACTACTCGTTATTCTGTCAAACACTAACCTTTCCCCTCTGTATCATTTTAGGTACAGTTCCTAGACCTGAGACACCAGAAGCTGTTTATTTACTCAATAAATATTTAAAAAAAAACTTTCTGAGTCTGTGTGTAGGATCCTCTGCCATCAGATCTCTGACAACTGGATTATTTCATTATAATGAACAAATCATGTACTTGTGGGAAGTCATTGCCATACTTTTTGTTTCACTGTCCTATAATGTTGAAGACAAAAAGGATCAGTGTTCCTTTAAGTAATGTGAATTTTCCTGTCTTAGACTGTCATTGTGTGATAAATGACAGTTTGTAGCAGTTTGATGAAAATTGGAAAATATGCACAATCATGTAATGTTGAGGGCAGCACGGTGGCGCAACTGGTAGAGCTGCTGCCTCTCAGCGAGCAGGTCCTTGGTTCAAACCCCAGTCCAGGGGCCTTTCTGGGTGGAGTTTGCATGTTCTCTCCGTGCATGCGTGGGTTTTCTCCGGGTACTCCGGTTTCCTCCCACAGTCCAAAAACATGCATGTTAGGTTGATTGGTAACTCTAAATTGTCCCTAGGTGTGAGTGAGAGAGTGAATGGTTGTTTGTCTCGTTTGTTTCTATGTGGCCCTGTGATGGACTTGCGACCCGTCCAGGGTGTACCCCGCCCCTCGCACAGTGATTGCTGGACATGGGCACCAGCGACCCCCGTGACCCAAAATGGAATAAGCGGGTAAAGAAAATGGATGGATGGATGTAATGTTGCAAGATGTCATGCTCAAACTGTTGAATAATCCTCACACAACAAAGACAACCCATTTTAGCTGCACTTCCATAACATTTACTGAGTTTAAGCCTGTTTTTCATTGGCTAGTGCTGATTAGCTATTAGCTTTTTTTAGATTTTCCTGTAACTACCTGAAGTCTTCATGCAGAACCAATGTTTAAATGCAAAGAGAAATAAATCAAACTGTTTAGTTATTAAAACAACTGCTACAAAGATGAAACACCAGCAAATATTTCTGATACATTTTATTTTCTGGGAGAGGTTACAAAGAACTGGCTTATTAACACTAAACAGTATAATTCAAGCAATAAAAAGGTTTGTGTTGGAAGTAACCTACAGCCTTACCAACTAAACAAATTGAAAATCATACAGTATTTAAAGGTCTCCATTATGGAGCCAACTCTTGGCACTGACTTCAGCAGCCTAATGTGATAATCTTGGTCAACTGTTGGCCAGCCTGTGATGTCTTTCTGTCTAATTACAGCTCTCACTGGATGGGTTAACAACCTTAGGATTAAGTTCTGAACAAGCTTAGTCATCATCTGTCTCTATCAGCTTCATCCTTCTATCGCTGCCATGTGTGCATTTCATCCAGGTCACTTTCTTTGCTCAGTAAAAGTTTAGAAATTCGTTAAAGACAACAAGTTTTAATGACCTGATGTCTCCGTCACTGACACATTTCAATAGTGAATGTTTGTTGTATTTGAGATGAGACTGGACATGAGTTTGTTGGGAAACCCAATGTGTCATTTATGGCCATATTTTTAATTGTCTTGGGTTTAGATTTATTTAAAAAGGAACATGTGAGCAAATACACTGCCACATGTGCTCAGTTTTAGATTAAGACTTCCACATGCATTTTAGCTTCAGTCAAACTGGTTCTTATGTATCTTTCATAAGATTTGTCAGACGAGAGCAGCTAAAATCACACACCTTAATGAGGGTTATCAGCACGAACGCTGCTGTTTGCTGAATTAATTTAGGCTCTTGGTACTGTGATGAAGACCAGAAGCAAAAGACAAACATGGTGCTGATTTGTCTTTTTTAAATTCTTTTAGAAGAAAAGACAAATCAGAAACTTTGAGACGAATTTGTAATTGTTTCTTTTCAGCTACAAGCTTTCTGATGCTTTGAAATGAGAAAAATAATTAAGAAACTTGCTGTAATGCCAGTGCTTTTAGCCATAATGAAACCAGTTTTACATTTTCTTAGACTGCCAGGGTGCAAGCATGAAGAAGCTCCTGCTCCCAATCAACAACGCTGCATGGACAGACCAAATGCCTTCTGGGAAATAAAATCAGGTCAGACAAGACAGATTGAGCTTTTTGACCCAAGTATGTGTTTTGTTTTGTTTTTATACACAAAGCATTTAGTATTATTTCATTTTAAATAAGATTTGGAAATGACTAGATATGTTGTACTATGTTTTGGAATGGATAAACCAAAAATTTAAGAAGGATTTTATATTTTACAAAGGCAGCCAATTAGATCAGCTACAAAAAATAAAAAATTGCTGAATTACCGGTAGAGGTTTGGGTCAAGCTTCACAGCAAGAATGTAACCACTCTTACACGTGACAGTATCTGGTTAAATCATTCATTCAAACTTACCGTATTTTTCGGACTATAAGATGCACTTAAAATTATTTACTTTTCACAAAAATCCATAGTGCACCTTATCTATTAATTCTGGTTATGCTTACTGACCTCAAACAGATTTTATGTGGTTGAATAGACTAATCGACCAGTCGGCATGTCAATTATAGGACATCTCGTGAGTTTTTAAGTTTCACATCAACTAGTCACAGCCAGTGGGTGTGTCACGTGATCAGCTGGGCCCCTGGC